GGTATTTAGTTTCATTTAATTGTCATTTCCATAGTCATTAGTGGTGACATGAGTCTGTGTTAGTTCGGCGGCTTTATGCGCTATACTCATACATTCCTACTCTTTGCCGCTCTTCTAAATTACCACTCAGCTGCAACTGCATCAAAGTAACCGCAATTCAATTATTGGCAGTAGAAATGAAAATTGTAAATGTTTGTCGGTCGGTTTGTCGTCTAAATGGCAATGCAGTTGACAATGCGACAGCATCGATTAAGATCTAATACTTGCCGTAATAGATTGGTTTTTATTTAGTTAACGCTTGATTGAATATTTACTTGCAAGGCAGCAAACAAGTAAATGCAGCTGTGATTTAATTACACTCAACTTTAATTGTCGATTTGCATTTAATGTAGCGTTTGAGATCAAAGGTTTCCGGTAGAAGTCGCGAGCCTCAAACAACTAACAAATTTTTCAGTTTCACTTCTCAGCTCACTACGTTTGAGCTGTAGTCTTTTGTCAAATATTTTACTTGAGAAAACAATAACAAAGCAAATCAAACCAGTTATATTCACTACAAGAGAGTGCGTTGTTATCTTGGTAACGTGGTATAACCGCTTGCTTATTCTATTTCTAACAAATTCAGCCATTTATATCACATTTATGCCAGTTGTTTGTTCGATTCGCCACTTTTAAAAGTTTGTTATTTTACAGCTGTAGTAATTGCAAAAAGTTTAGGAAGGCGGTAGATTTTAAAATGTACATATAATCAAGTCGAGTTAATAGTGTACTCTAGAAAGGCATATATCACATATTTTAGACATATAAAATTTTCCATTAAGGTGGTCGTCTACCTTTACGCTCATATTTCGGCAAAAACTACACATGATATATGCACAAAATTTCTTCTTAAATTTGAATAGAAAACAAAACAATAATTGTTTTTTAAACTCTGCCCTTGGTGCGTCCTTCCGATTCGACGTAGTCGAGACTTGGCAATAGATTTCAACATTAGAACCTGGAAGCCAAAAATTTTTTTATTTATTTACTTAATGGTTATAACCACAGTTATGACTAAACACAAGCTTTTTAGAAGCTAAAAGCATATTTTCCAAGATAAAAAATTAAAAAAAAAAAATCATAAAAAGTTCATTTCTAAAAATAGCGAAATATTTTGTGAATCAGTAGCAATTTACAAATTTCGAATATCTTTTTTATATTTAGTTTTATCAGAATAATCAGGAAAACGCGTTTACAGCCTACAGAGCGACGTGAATAGTGAAAGAGGGCCGGGTTTGGGGTCGATATCTCGTAAACCAACATGCCTTCGATCAAATGCTTTATAGGACATGTTTCTAGTTATGTCTGCATTAGAAATATGAAAAAAAATCGCGAAGGTTGACGACCCATTCAAACCACATTTATGCCAGCAAACACATTTATGTTCAGTACATTTTAGTAAATAATTAAGACTGACACCGGTACAACATGATAATCTTAGAATCTAACTGACATTTTTATAGCCACATTGCCTTCAACAATGAAGCATATTTCAGGGTTAAAAATAGTTCAGGTTGGCCCCTTTATGACTTATTATACAAAGTTGTATATATAATATATGATTTTGGTAAGACCGCGGACAAAGATAGAGCCGATATTAACTGGAATTACTAGAAGAGGTGTACAGTGAAAAGAGAATATCTTGTCAAATAAAATATGCATACAAACGCTTGATTTGGATCGGCCAATTTGTATGACAAATTTATCCTATAAAAATCCGCTATCGGTGATTCCGAAATGAGTAGCTTCTTGAGGAGAAAAAACAAAACGTGTGCAAAATTTCAGTTCGATATCTCAATAGCCGAGAGACTAGTTCTCGAATATTATACTATTGAGAAAGTCGCTAAAACTCACCATATTGAGCTCATAAAACAAATTTCTTCGCTTGCTCAGCTCAACAGCCTTATTTTCTTCTTCTTAATTTTAGCTTAAACCTCATTAATACGATAATAGTTTTGCCACAATGACAATAGTTCATGACCACCAAACACGTTTGCCATTTGCTATCTTCGCAATCTGCTAGCTTTCAGCAAATATTCTATTGTCTGTGCCAAGCTTGTCGTCCGCAGACGCTATCATTTTGGCTGACATGTAATCAAGATTGTAGTCAAAATTTATAGGCGCTTCCCGGCAAATCAATGGCAAACCAAAGCATGGGAAAATGAAAGAAACAAGTGAGCACTATCTGGCAGATATCATAATAGAAGATACACGGCGCAGAGAGACCTCAATTGACATGTGTAATAAAAATTGGCAAATGTCAAACCGCAGAACAGGCGCAACCTAATAACCACCACACAATACACCTACAAACTGTGCTAAAATGAAATGGATGTGAAATTGGTTTACCAAAACAGCGAAACGGAAAAGTGTAAAAAAAACACGAAAACAGCAGCAATGAAGCCAGTAAAATACATGCTACTTGTATAGCGACATAAATAGTAGAGCGGCAATTTGGCAGCGGAACAAACAGTCCAAGTCCCCGACAGCAGACATTAGGAAATTTTATTATGCGAAAAAAGAATAGTGGCAGCAACAGCGCCAGCGTCTTCACAACAAACGTGCCGCCGCCATCCTTTTTTGGCTTCTCAATGTTGATTGTCGGTGATGTGTGTCGAAATGACGCGGCGTCTGAAGATTAGTGTCGCGAAGCAAAAATGAAAATATGCGAAAAATCGTAAAAATATGGTGTGAAGGTGGGAAGAAGTTATGGTGACATTTATTTATTATTTTTTTGGTAGTTCTTTACAGTCTGTTGGGGGTCGCAAATATGGTGCTGCTATAAAAAATTGGACAATGCGATGAAGAAAAAGCAGAGAATAAGAAAATTCGTAAACATTAGTGAAAAAGCTTTGGTCATTTGCATTGGCTCAAGGTAGTATTTATTGGGTCTTTCTAGCGAAGGAAATGAAGAGGTGTGGTTACTGTTAACGATGAGACACATTATGAAATAATAAAGTATATTTGAAAATATTCGAGGAAGAAACTGCGCCGAAAAGATAAAAACAACCTCTTTAAATCAGGGGAGAGAAAGATAAAATATGAGCGCTTACTTAACAAAAATAAAAGAGCAAGTGAGGTATGATTTAGTTGTAAAACGAAAATAATTGAAAGGTAACAGAGTTACTTCAAACAAATATCAAACTTATATTTGTTGTGACCATCTACTTTTTCTTTTTACATACAAGAAATTGTACGTATTTGCCGACGACAGTGAGAAAAGGCATCAGTAGTTATAACACCGATACTCACTAGATTGACCGCAAACATATTCAGAGTACTGGTGATAACGATGTAAGAGACTCGTGGCTCCAACAGACGTCTCTTAGAACGAATCTGAAGAGTAAAATTTGAGTTATGTTAAGGGGTTACATGGGTTTCGTCAAACAAAAGTTGCAATAATTTTTGTTTTTTCATATAAAAAATGAAATATTTTATTCAAACTTTTTGCTATGCCGAAGATACATATTTGATAAAGATTTTGTGAAATTTTCAAAGGAAAATATTTAAAACTAGGTCATAACGACATCATTTCCGGCTTCCGCGTTGACAGCACAATTTCTGACAGAATCATCAAAAGTAAAAAAGAAAAAAATACGTGTTTGAACTAAGACCCCTAACTAGGTATTGGGATGAGAACAAAACAAATAAAATGTAAATTGTATTTTTGGCAGACGTTTTTACAAAAACATGCAAATTTTGGTGAAAATTTCTCGACGTTTTTTGTTTTTTAAATTGTTGTAATTGAACAAAAAAAATCCTTCGCAGCAAGATCTTGTAAATTCTATCTCAAAGACTGTATAAAATTTCATTAAGATCGGTTGAGTACTTTGTGAGAAATCTTGACAACCGACTTTGAAAACATAATTTCGAGAAAAAGTGTTTAAAGTTTTAATTGACTATATATCTGACCTCGAGCACGCAACATTTTCAAAGCTGTACCTCCAAAACTATTACTGGAGTCAACTTGAGAATTTAGGACAATATTCTAGAGATGTTATAGAATTAAATAGGACAATAAAAAAATTTTGTTTTTTGAAGCCGTGAAACCCATGTAAGCAATGGGTTCCTAACTGATGTTAAGCTAAACTGTTATTGCAGAGTTTAGAGAAATTGTCAAAAGTATATATATAATATTCTATATATCTATTGGGTAGTTTATAGACTTTCAATAAAAATTGTTTATCAAATGTGTGTGTATATATGGAATAGATTAGTTCAATAAACATCGTCTCGAATATGAAGAATTTAGCAATGAGTAAAAGCAATATTTACGGATTATTACTGTTCGAATCACCATAATAATCTTAATGCTACGGTCTTTAATTCACTTGATAGCTAAAGTTCAACTAAGAACTATAATAACATTCATTGCAGACACTCATGGAATGAGAAAATTCGATTAAATTAGTAAAACAATAAAGAAACATCATGGTGCTTGCTTTCGCTCGAATCATATACATATATACAAATACATAATATATACGTATAAAAGTATCGATTTTCCACAACTGTCACTTAGTTAAATGTCAGTTGTTTTGAAATTTCAAGGTGCGACAACCACACTTTCACAACTACCATCGTAAATTTGGTAGCTTTTGCTTGGGTTGATAGTTTGCAGTTGGTTGGGAGTTTAAGCAGGCCAAATAGACACAGACAGATTGACTGTCTAACAATTATACATACGTGTATAAACAAACATGTATGTATATGTCAGTATCTAATTCGGTTTTACTACAAGCGTGATCTAGTAAATGTATTTCTTTTATACACAATATTTTGGTTTTTTTTTTGTAAATACTGTTGCATTATGTTGACATTGCTTTCATCTCTAGTAAATGGATATGTATTTTTTAAATATATTTATATGTTTTTGTTACAAATTTGGAAGTTTATTTACAATATTAATATTTATTTATTTTCTTTTTCAATATAATATAGAAAGTTGTAGAGGTTTCACTTACCGTTCTCAAAAGAGCCTTGTTGTTTTTATAACAATCACCAAGTATGAAAATTACACAACTGTAAGCGAAAGAAATAGGGAAGAAAATAAATGTAGACATTTCGAAAGTTAAATAAATTTATAAAAGTATTACAAACAGACAAGTAATGAAACGTTAAACAATTTTTTTTTATAAATTAAAAACCATCTTTTAAAATATGATGCAATTTGAGCAGTAACGCAGTTTATAGCTTGCTTCGTATGATTAACAGCCAATAATTCTTGGGCAACAGTATAAATAATATTAATAACAATTACTTATGTAACAGATTACAGTATCACTATCATTTGGGTGACTCAAGTAAGGGATTACAAAAATCCCTCAAATATGCCCTTTCTCTTTCAGGCTTCATTAAACATGTATTTGAGTGTTTAAAAAAATTGTTAAATTGATAGTTTGATACAAATTGGCACTACCCGCTCAATATTCGAAGTCACTGTGGTTTTCCGTCTGCTTATAGTTAATGGTTAATGTCAAAAAAATTTCAACCTACAAAAAAAAATAAATATTTTTACAAAATCAATTGAAAGCTAAGAATTTTCAAGTCTCTGCCCCACAAAACAGTTTGTAAAAATGTCACTCACATAGCAACCCTTTACCCTTTAGGCAATAAGTTGAAACATTCGATTATGACCAGCTTCTCTTAAGCCGAATTTTTCACCAGCAAAAGTATGGTGAAACATATGCCATAAACGGACGTAAATAGTAATCAGTTGCATAAAAATCTCCCAAGCTTCGGGAGCTTCTGGCGAGTCCCTATAAGATATCATCAATATTTATTCTGCGATGAAGCGACACACATATGCCAATCATCGAAACATGCCTTGTACCTGCTGTCCGAGATCGCCTTCAGTTCCCTCTGCGAGTTTTCTTTTAAGACATCTACCGAATCAAAACGGGTTTTGGCCTTAAAATCGTTGACACAAATTTTCGGTTAAAATCAAACGAGTTGCTTCACGGCCGATGTTTAGCTTACGTGCTATCTCTCTAACACTCGCATGACGATTTTCGAGCACGATTTCCCCTTCAATTTTTTGATGTTATCGTCAGTGGTAGACGTCGAACGAGGACCGAAACGGAGCATGTCTTCGACAGTTTCTCGACCATCCTTAACAGCTTTGTACCAGTAGGGGACTTGGTTTTCGATAGAATAAATTCCTAACATTCGCAACGATTCCGCACACGAAATTTGGTTTGAAACACAAAATTTGATGCAAATTCTTTGTTCAATATTTTTTTCCATTGTAAAAATCGCAAAACATTACTGAGGTCGACTGATTTCAACAGCTGCTGCAAGCAAACTGGTTGATGCATCGCGCCCATTTTTGGCATAGTAATTAAGGACAGTGCTACCAACTTATCAAACAAAAGTGCTGAAAAGTATTCAGCGCGGGCAGTTTAAACGACAATTTGCGGAAACTTTCTAGTCACAACTTATTATATATATCATATATCAATATACTTGTATTCATATAAAAGTAAAATCTACAAATATATAAATTGAATTTTCATTTAAAAGAATTTGTTTTAATAACATCAAAAGTACGCAAAATGAAAATAAAGAGAAATATAAATATAAATAGGTAAAAAAAATATAAATAAAAGCAATACACTGAATTTTTCAAGAATAATAGTTTTATAAAATACTTAAGGCATTCCTTTAATATATTTGCTATATTTTCAAACAAAAGGCTCAACACAACCCTTTCATTAGTTAATGTTATGTACCCAAAAGAGATATTGCTCTCAGCAATAAATTTCATTACTTTGCATTACTTGTCCTTCACTTACTCTTAAAAGACAATAAACATGCCGCAAAAAGAAAGTCAGAAAGTTTGATCACTTTATCACTCATCTCGTGTTGAAGCAATTTGGGCGAATGCAGCAACACTGCAATTGTTGCGCATAAACAATTTAATATTACTATACATAAACATTAACTTATATATGAGTATATTATATAGAGCATAAATCTGTTGAAAGTTATAAACACTGACTTGGATAAATTGCTATCAAAATATTATGTACATTTTAAGTGTAATTGACTGAAATTGCCACGCTCATATTCAAGAGAGAAAATAAAGACAACATTTTAATAAATGTGTAACACAAATACATTTATGTATGTATATACATACCTATACCATATAATTAACTATACGGGTATGTGGGAAATTAAGACGCAATCTGTTCATTAACCATAATACACATATACATATATATATATATATATGTATATATGTTAGTACGTATAGTAGTAGGTGACAGCATTTTTATGACTTTTGATAAAATTAATGAAATTGCGTGCACACAGACTGTTGCTGCAATTAGCAAAGTTGACGGGCGCCAACAGCACACGCACGCCATGTCGTATACGTAACTTATTATGTTTGTACTCTGTGTTTAACTGGGAATATGAAATTAATTGCACTATTCGAGATTTAATATGCCGAGTGATGATAATTTTCAAGAAAAGATAGTGCAAATGAAATATAAGTATACTAAATATTTTACTATAAAATTTAATAAATTATTTGAGCAAAAATTTTATTTTTTAACTGCTGCGAGTGAACTGCAAATAAGTTAACCACTATAAATTTGAATTTTTTACTCTTTCCACTCAAAACAAAAACAAAATACCTTTCAATAACATAATACAAGGATATAAACATAGAATTTGGTAACTCTCAACTACAAGGAATATATTCTCATTTCCATTTTGTGGCGCAGTACATAATTCATTTTGGTCTTAAAATCTTTAGCACAAAGGTGGTATTTTATGGTTGACAGCGGTATTTTTGGTGTGTGCACTGGCGAGCTTAACGACTGTATTAAAAAAAATGGAAATAAAATAATAACAAAAAGTCAATCAGCCACATCAACCGACTGGCGAGTTGGGTGTGTAACTACTTCGTGTATGTGAACTCGAGAACAACAAACAAAATTGCATAGACAAAAATTGTTCATAAAGCACTTAGCTGAGCCGAAGCAATAACACCCTTCACAGCTGCATTTCTTATAGCGCAGAAGGGTATAAAAAGATCGTGAATTTGACTTTGATTTGTTAATTTGTATGGCGGATATATGCTATAGTGGTCCAATTTGAATATGTCCGGTAATTGTAGCGGTGTTTTGAATAAAAATCTATGTTGAATTTCATATATTATACATACTTGTCAAATAAAAAAGTTTCCCATACATGGACCTGAGTATGATCGATCAGCTTGTATGGCAGCTACATGCTAAAGTAGTCCGATAGCGGCCATTCCGACAAATGAGCAGCTTCGTGGTCAGGGCGTGCAAAATTTCAGATCATTATCACAGGGTATAAAAAGTTGTTTCTTAAGTGGTCAAATGGGCGTAGTTTCAAGCAAGGAACTCACAATAGTTACCAGGATAGAGCAAAAGATTGCTTAAGTATTTTTCATACTTTCCTTTTTTCGATTCCTTCGTCAATTTTACCAATTCTTCATTAGGCCTGCTCTACTTCGTATTGGAAAATAACATCGTGAGTTTCCTGAATCTAGGGTAACTAATTTCAATATAGAAGGACTAAACCTAAAGGAATATATCTAACTTAATCTATACTTTTCTATATACAAACTAAAAAGTTCAATATTTACGAAGGGCATAAACGCACCTGCGTACATAAAAAATTCATATAACCAAGGTACAAACCAAAAATAAACCCAAGTCAGATGAGTGCATGCATAGAAATATGAAAATTCAACGCAAGAGAAAAATTGTGTGTGGAAAAAAATAGACATATCTGCCAAAAGCGGGTCAATGACTTGGCAATTAAAGGCGCCCGCCAACTTTGACGTTGTCGACAGCGTTAGCGCTAAAAGCAATCCATACACACGCAATTGTGAGCGCGTAAATGTACTTAAGTGTAAACATAGGCATGTATCTCCGGTATTCATGAATGCACCAACAAAAGCGTCACATTGTGTACGCATAAAAGCGGTGAGACGTTCGCCGCAGATGCACTCATTGCGGTGAAAAAGTATGCGAGCAAAAAAGTGAATAAATATTCAACAAATAATTATGGTGTGTTGGAAAAATATTGATCTGCAATTTAATTGCGCACAATTATATGAGATTATTATTAAAATTTTATTTCGAAAATAATACAATATTTTAAAACAAGATACCACAATATGACACACTGAGAGAAATTAAGCGTAAAATATAAATAAAAATGTCATGCAAATTGAAATTTTCCCTACTGGGCATCCGTAGTCAGCAGCAATCGTACATAAATAACAAACTTCAAGACTGTGCGGCAACTCTGTTTGCAGTTGCAAGCTTCTTGGCATCGGTAAGTGTCACATAAATACCTTGTCAGCTCAATGCAGAGATCAACAAACAACCAACTTGGACGGAAGTAGATATATGGTACGGTTTAATTCACATACTTACATATAAACGCATGCATATATATATATATATATATATTCGAATTTTTGACTTAAAATTAACTTATATAAAGAGAAACATTTTTTAATAAAATATTTAAAAAAATAAAAAACGTCGAGAAGTTTTCATCAAAATTAGCATTTTTTTTAAAACGTCTGCCAAAATAAAATTTTCTTTTATTTGTTTTTTCTCCGTCCAATACACAGTTAATGATCTTAGTTCAAACACGTATCAAACATCTTTTTACTTTTGATGATCCTGTCAGAAGTTTTGCTGTCAACGCGGAAGCGCTTTTTTTCCAAGGGATTGCCGGAAATGACGTCGTAATGACCGAGCTTTGAATATTTTCCTTTGAAAATATTACAAAATCTCTATCAAATATGATATTTCCAATAAAATATTTAATTTGTTGGATGAAAAAAAAAATTATTAAAAATAGGGCATTTTTTCCTCGACGAAATGAAAGAATTTAAAAAAGGTTTGTTTTGGCTCACCCTAATGTACATACATATATCTGTATATATAGTATACACAATTATAATTCAAATACATCAATCTAAATATAAAATACACACTTATATGAACCTACATGTATCTCAC